AGGGGCTCATACAACTGTTATCGCAATCCATACACACATCAATTGTGTAAAGCGCATTTGTACATCATTCTCAAAACATTTTCTCTCCACTTAAACCCCCAACATTAGGTCCTCATTTTTCCCCTCTCTCCCTGCTCCCCCTCCCTCATGAGCCCTTGATAGGTTTATAAATTGGTATTTTGTCATATCTTGCCCTGCCCAACGTCTCCCTTCACCCACTTTTCTGTTGTCTGTCCCCCAGGGAGGAAGTCACATATAGTTCCTTGTAATCGGTTCCTGATTTAGGGTTGTTTTCATGCAGCAAAACAATGATGAATGAATACTCATAATTTATTTTTAACTGAAATGTGTGAGGTGTAAAAATGTCCCTATTCCAAAAACTTTTGTAAAATTCTCCTAAGCAGAAAAATAAATAAAATAACATATAGCACTGAACTAGATTATTCAAGAAGTGGTGCTCTCATCATTTATACAACAGCTATCAAAATGAGTATGTTTCAAAACCAGAAGCCCTGGACTAAGTGGCACAGAGGTTTCTGCAGAATTACAATGATAACATAATTAGGAGTCGGGGGTGGGGTAGGGGTGGTGATGTAGATAAACAGAAATTTAAAAATAAACATTTATGGTGAAAACTTCTGGTCATGCATGGAGCGGACCAATAGTGCCATAGTTATAACCAAAAGACTGCAAACATGTTGCCTTTGAATTGACTGTCACTCCTAGCGAGTGACCCTGAAGGACAGAGCAGACCTGCCCCAGAGGGTCTGACTGCCAAGGTGGGTTCACACCACCAACCTTTCAGTTAGCAGCCCAGGGCTTGAACCACAGTGTCACTTGGGCCCCTCCCAGACTTATAAATAAATAACCTTATGAGACATTTTAAGCTAGTTTGAATCAGACTGTGAGAGCTATACAGTGATTCCAACAGAGACCCCTGTTCAATAAATGAAAACATAGTTTAGAGAGCAAAACCAAAGTCAAATTTCTGCTTACCATGAATAGATCCCACTGACCATGTCATAGTTCTGACAGGACTCGTGGATGCTGCTGGGCCCGGCGGCTTTAGAAATGAGTAGCACGACCAAGCCTCTCAACTGGAGGTTATGCCGGCTGTCCTGTACAAACCCCCTGTCAACAAAAAAAAGAGGGGTTAATACACTCTCACAGGGTCAGCCAGAGTAAGGTAGAAAACTGCTGCAAGTATGTCCACAGCTGTACAACTGGTCAGGAGAACTTATTGAAAAGACCTGGGGCTAGGAGGGGAAAGACAAAATTAACATGTGGGTTTCAGGACACAACTAGGCTCCCATGGCTGGATTTACAAGGGAAGGTCTCTTGATGATATGGCCCCCTCCTCATCCCAGTCTTGCTGATATCCAAAGCCTACTTCTCAGTAGTAAACATTTGCTTTGATAACAAGAGAGAACTATACTTTGAAATAGTTGATAGCAACTGGACCGCCAGTTGTCCCGCTGAATGAAGTCAGGGTGGTGATAGTGCTAGAGGCTATTTCTGTGCACAGAAGAGGAAGGAATTAAACGAAATCTAACAGATGCAACATGAATCTATCAAGACAAATAAAATAGAAATGAATGTTACCAGCAAAAATCTTGTCATTTCCTATTATTTATGCAATTCTGGGCAACAATAAAGCTTTAATTTAAAATGACACATATATTTTTACGATGAGGATTATAATTTTATAGTTTCTGCTGTAACAGTGGACAGGAATACTTTCTAGGAATACCTAAAGTTTTTCAGAGTTGTAAGTGATTGTCATATAAGAACTAAATGGTATCATAAAAACAATAAAACTAAGAGCAAGAGGTAATAATAAATCAATTTTAGAGCCATGTTCTTGAGCACTGATCAAATAGATTATATAATCATAGCATACACAAAATATACACAGAAAAAACACTTGAAATTAGTATTATAATATTTCATTGAATCGGTATCAGGAATCAAAGAACAAAAAAATCATGTCATTGTGAATGAGGGGGAGTGCAGAGTAAGGACCCAAAGCCCATCTGTAGGCTTCTGGGCATCCCTTACAGAAGAGTCACAAGGAGGAGACAAGCCAGTCAGGGTGCAGTATAGCAATGATGAAACATACAACTTTCCTCTAGTTCTTTAATGCT